TCGGGCCAGGGCCGGCGCCGCCCGGGGCCGAGGGCTCTTCTGGCCGCTGACGCCCCTCCGCCCTCTCCGCCGTCTCCCCGGGCAGGTGCCGTCAAACCGCGGGTGAGCTGCAGCAGAGAGCTGGAACTGAAGAGCACCTTACGGGAGCTGGTCATCTACATCGTCTTCCTGACAGACCTCTGTATCCGTAAGTCATCCAGCGACCGAGGTGACTGTTTGCAAATCATGGAATCACAGAATGGTTTGGGTTGGAAGGGACCTCAGAGATCATCCAGTTCCAACCCCCCTGCCATGGGCAGGGACACCCTCCACCACACCAGTGATCAACGCATCAGCTGTACTCCTTTCAGCATGTACACCTCCCTCTGCCTGTTTTCCACCTAAATGTGTCACTTCCATCAAAATTGCTCTACCTGCCCTTTTCTAGCAGCGAGACTTACTCCTTTCATTCCAGCCTGCCAGCGTGCCCTCTCTGCCCCTTCTTTTCCAGTGGCCTTCAGCATGGTGAGCACTGACATGTATTACCTGAACGAAGTCATGTCCCGTGTCTTCCTGGAGCCCTCCTCTGAGGATGACGGGAGTGGTTTCCGGAGTATTAGGAGCAGAGCTGATTTCTGGAGGGTAAGGCTTTCATTGCAAAGATGTTTTCTTGGAGAGCAAACAAGTGAAGAAGCTCCGGCTGTTAATTCAGAGCAATACAGTCTCACAGCTCTCCTAAATCCTATGTGCTAGATATTGTGCTTTCAGCTGAAGAAAGGTAAATAACTTCTGAAATTCATTTGGAGAAATTCTGAGTGCAAACAGTAGCACTGATACTTCTGAGTAATCAGTCGAGGAAAACAATAGGCCCATTAATTGCTGCATCATATTGTCCATATTAGACTTGGTCTGAAAAGAGCTTCAATAAAAACATAAAGATTTTGGGTTCTTTTGAATTCCAAGTGTTAAAAAAAAAAATTGTGAAAACGTGGAAAGAAAATACGTTCGCGGATACATTACCTCATATTTCAGTGACGGCTGCAAAATGCTTATCTCTGTTTTCACTACTAGGTGGAGGACCTCCCAAAGCTACCAGCACTGGCCAGCTGACAGCAGAAGGCAAAGCTTCTCACCCTACTTTTCCTTAAAAATGGAAATGCCTGGCTATAACAATCAATTAGGAAGAATTGTACTCCCCCTTATCTTGGTGTCTGTTATTGCTAGTGTGTAAAATAGTGAGCCCTCGCTATACAACACGTGTGCGATGTACTAGAAATGGTTGTAATACATGCTCAGGTGGTGCCAAACTGTGGGGGCATGCTTTTTTCCACTCAGAATAATGTTCTCTCCAAGTTTAATGCTCTTTATCTGCATCTAAGAAACACCCAGAAAAGGAGGAATTTTTTTTTTCCCGCCTTCTGATATAAATACTTCTTCATTTAGACTCAGATGACTAAAAACCTAGTCAGAAATGGATCCCAAAACAGATCTTCGGAGATTAAGCTAACCAACAGGTTTTGTTAAAACAACATATAATATTTGTGTTTAAACATATTTGTTTAGAATTCAGCAGAATTTTTCAGTGAAAGCCCAAACAGACATATGTTGTAGTCTTACCTTGAATAATCCCACTCCATATCTCTGATAGAATTGCGTAGGGAATAGAACTGACTCATAGCAAAAAGATGTAAATATGTTGTATTTATAAGACAGTACATATGTGGGAGTTGTTTGTATTCTAGCATAGACTCCGTAGCTATAATTAACCTGAGAACCTTGCGGAGATTTGTGTGCTAAAAAGTGGGGTAATAGTGGTATTTAAATCTTCTTTTGAAACTTTAACCTCACTTGTCTAGTTTGCAGAGGGACCCCTGTTGGATGGACTCTACTGGGAAAAATGGTACAACAACAAGACGTCAACCCTCCAGAACAACAACAGCCATATTTACTATGAGAACTTGCTGTTAGGAGTAGCCCAGATTCGCCAGCTGAAAGTACGCAACAACACTTGCTCCGTCCACCCATATTTCCATGCTGTTTTAGAAGGCTGTTACAGTGAATATCATTACCGAGCTGAGGACAGGTCTGACTTTGGCCTAAGGAACGAATCCGAGTAAGTCATCCTACTTCAGCACAGAAATGTTTTTGAAAACCTGACCAAATCCTTAATGCCAGTATTCTTCAGTTGGTAACAACCGTGCATGCAATTAGCCGAGTTTTCCTCTTGTTTACAGTGAGATAAACCATGGGTTTGTTTTTGTGCCAACATTATGGACGGGAATTTGCCATGGGAATTCTATAGACAGGAAAAAGTGGAAACAGCGCACCCAGTTCAGCAGAAGCACATGTCAGTGGGCCTGTCTCCACTAACATATCTGGAGAAACGCTCATTTATGTGAGCACATGTTTATAAATTGGAATCGTGCTAAAATGCTCTGGAAATAGCCACAAGGCCTGCTTTGTACACGTCATTTAGCACCAATTTAACACAATGAAAGAACATGTGAACAAGCCACAGTAACAATGAACTATGTACACCAGAGATGTTCTATTTACCTATGAAGGTTTTAAGGTAATCAGCTGTCTGGCCCATGTTAGGAGAAATCCAGATTCCTAAGGAATTGCTGTTTTGTGATCGTACTGATAAAGCTAAATAAAAGAAATGGGAATATCTTAAGGCTGTGTGCCTCACGCATACTTGGTGTAAAGAAAAGCATTATTTAAAGGTCTGGCTTAGACGGTCAGTTGTGGATACAGAACATCACGAGAACTAACAAGGATTGTACAACAGTTAAATCTTACTTCAGTCTAGTTTCCGTACGCTGAGCTGCTTTGTTTTCCCGTTTCTGATAGATGGAAATACACCTCAGCCTCCTCGTTATCCCCATGGTACTGGGGATCTATGGGTTTGTACAGCAGCGGAGGATTTATGTTCACCTTACCTAAATCGAAGCAGGAGAGCGTGGAGAAGTTGGTGTTTCTCAGGCAGAACAGCTGGCTCACTAGAGGAACCAGGGCTGTATTTATCGACTTCTCAACATACAATGCCAACATAAACCTCTTCTGTATAATCAGGTGATTTCTTATCTTTACTACATGTGAAATCCAGTTTACTGAGGCATGATGCTTCCGTAGGTACACAGGGAAAGGCTGGTCACCTCAGACATATGTAGCTTCCTTTCTCAGGTAGCAGCTGGCAAGACAGTAGTTCATTAAAAATGCAGAAATTCAGTTAGTGCTGGGAACAGACCTAGATCCTTCCTTTCCATTTTTTTTGGTAATAGTTGGTGTCTGGTCTGTACAGCTGCTGCAGTTGGAATAGATTTCATGGCCTTTTGCAAGGTCAAACACTGGATTTATTAGTCCCGTTATCAGCTAATGGAGGGAAAAGAATCAAGGTAGGGTGAACATCTGCTCTTCTGAGATATAGTTTCTTTAAAGACTTTTAACCAAACACCATAGCTCGGGTATCCCAGGAGCTTCTTGTTTTCCCCTTAGCCTTCCCTACCGTGTCATACTCTTCCCATCGGGGACTTAGTATAACCCTTACAAGATGGTCTTACAGGTGTAGGAGTCCCAGTAAGGTATTATTAATGTATTAGTAATTAATATTAGAAAAGTAAGGGCTGAAGTGATTTAAAAGGGTAACTAACGCCAGACCCAATTTTTTCCAGGTTGGTGGTAGAGTTCCCTGCCACCGGGGGTGCTCTCACCTCCTCACAAATCTGCTCTGTGAAGCTCCTCAGATACATCACGTATTATGATTACTTCCTGGCCTTTTGCGAAATCACCTTTTGCCTCTTTATCATCACATTCATAATCCAGGAAACTTTACAAATAGCAAAACTGAAAAAGGAATATTTCAGAAGAGCCTGGAACTGGCTGGATTTGCTGCTGCTGGTGGTGAGCCAACCCCTTGACTTTCACCTCCGTGCTTGCCAGCCTAGGCTAGCACTGGATAGACGGCCAACGAGCCAGAACGGCCCGTCTGTTCCTGGTTAAAGTCGCTCACCCACTGCTCTACGCTGGAGAGGCCACGTGAGCCACCATAGTTCAGCACACCTGGACTCCTTTCTAGCCTTGCTGTCAACTTGCTGTGGCTCCACATCCTTTCTGTTTGTTATCCAAACAGATATTTGCAGCCTTCCAGTACTTAAAGGGAGCCTGCAGGAAAGCTGGAAAGGGACTTTTTACAAGGGCGTGTAGTGATAGGACAAGGGGCAATGGCTTTAAACTGAAAGAGGGGAGATTTAGATCAGATATAAGGAAGAAATTTTTCACTCAGAGGGTGGTGAGGCACTGGAACAGGTTGCCCAGAGAAATTAAAAAAATGGAAGTGTTCAAGGCCAGGCTGGATGAGGCTTTGAGCAACCTGATCTAGTGGAAGGTGCCCATGGCAGGGAAGTTGGAACTAGATGATCTTTGAGGTCCCTTCCAACTCTAACCATTCTATGATTTTATGATCCACCTTGTTTGTTTTAGCCCTAACCTTAATCTTTGCAGAGCAGGGAAGCAGTAGCGCGTATCAGAGCTAAGGCAGTGAAATTAGAACGTACACACAGCACAAGCCCAGAGCTACCATGGTACAATTGCAAGTGATTTGGCCAATAAAGTCTCCTATATACAGTTCATGAGAAAGCATCTAAGCAGCTCAGGTTCTTCCAATCTAACCAAGGGCCTTTTGAAATCAATACAGTCTTTCCTGTGCAAAATGACCAGTCTGAAGAGAGGGGATGTAGCTGGACTTCAGTTTCGCTGGCTTCTGCTTTCCTTCAGGTATCCATCCTTGCCATTGCCTTCAACATCTACCGCACTGTAAAAGTGTCTCTGCTAATGGAAAAGCTGCTGTCTGATGCCCATGTATATCCAGACTTCTATTTCCTTGCATTCTGGCAAGTCCTTTACAACAACATGATTGCTGTCAACATCTTCTTTGCTTGGATAAAGGTATTGGTTCTTATTCCTTTTTTTTTTGTACTCGAGAATCATAGCGTTTCTAAGCACAGCATAAATGTTTGCTGCGAAGGTGGGGCTAAATGGGAGAATTTTGTTTATAAGATTCCAGAAGAGTTTAAAGTTACCTCCTTCTCATAAACACGGGTCACACAAATTCCAAGCCCCTCTGAAAAAAAATTTGCACCTCGGCAGCTGTCTCCATTGGAGCAGCTGGGAAATTACCATGGCCAAACAGCCTCCTCAAACTTAGTCTTTCCCTAGACCAAATTGTCCAGGTCACAGCTGGACCTATACAGACAGCTTGGCTGTAATAGGTGAAGCTATTTGTAGCTTTTGTTGCCAAAAGCTAGGAAAACCATAGCTACTTTTTAACTGTAGAGGAAGGCAAAACGTGTCAGAACTTGATTCCAAAGTGACTTCGTGCCAGGACACCTTTAATTTCATTCTTACTTGCAAATAGATTTGCTGATCTGGACAGAGTAGCAAACTTCTCTAAGATTAGGGACTACTTTTGTTCCTAACCAGGTGCTCTGGGGCCAAACCAACCCTGCATGTTTGCATGCCACTGCCCTCATCTACTAAATCCTGCTGACCCTAAATGGAGTCTGCACTCCTCCTCCTGTACCCAGCAGACATCAGTGACTTTGGTTTGGGTGGCCTCAGTGTTCCCAGTGGCTAGATGAAACTTCCCAAAGCTTTGCCTGATCCCAGCCTGCTCACAGGCCCCCTGTCTCCCAAGGTATTTGTAAAACCCCTGGCACAAAGTGGCTGCGGAGCAGGCAGAGGAGGTGTTCACATCTGCCAGGAGAGACCACGCTTTACAACCATGCCCCAAGTACCTGAACATAAGCTATCATGAAATGTCACGTTCTTTGGCTTTCTGCCACCTCCCAGGCTAAGGCTGCAGGAAGGAACTGTTTGGGAGTGCTGGTGGTTAACCAGTTCTTCCTTTTTACATCCATTCTGTACCTCGCATCATCCGCCCCTCAGACTGATTACTGTTAATTTAGCAGCACAACTGTGTTTATAATTAATGTCATTGAACAAGGCTTTTGTTCTGGGCTTGTTTCAGACCCAAAGTAAAAGACAGCTCCTTACCCACTCAGCCCATCAGGGAATCCTCAGATACAGCAGGCTGGTTTGTCTTGCAGTCTCCTTGACCAGGGGTCCATATCTGCTAGAGCTCATTCCACCAGTACCCAGCATAGACCTGTCCACATACTATATTAGCTTTAGCATATAGGCACATTTGCCCTGCAGAATATTCATCTTCTCCAGAAACACACCCAATCCTATTCCTCCTTACAGATACACACCATGTAACTTATTTCTAGGTGAGACTTAACCTGTAAATTATGATTACAGATAACATTCCAGAAATTCTCTTAAGAAGTTGCAATATATTGTGATCCCCCAATAACAATACGCTCTGTTCTCTTGCAGATATTTAAATACATACGCTTTAACAAAACCATGGCGCAGCTCTCCTCCACTTTATCTCGCTGTGCCAAAGACATCATTGGATTTGCCGTCATGTTCTTCATCGTTTTCTTTGCCTATGCCCAGTTAGGCTATCTGGTCTTCGGGTCGCAAGTTGAAGAGTTCTCCACTTTCCAAAACTGCATGTATGCTACTTTCTAAACTTTTTGATGCAAAACCCCGAGTTGGTGCAGGTGCAAACCAGTTTCTGCTAAGCAGAACTTAAGAGTACAGGTCTCCAACACAGCTTATTTCATAGAGTAAAGCCAATTTTGTTGTCTGTGTATCTATTTCCCAAAACCTTCGTATCTTCAAAAGAGACCACAGGTACGTTAAACAGGTCAGGGAAGCGTAAGAAGGGGAAGCTCAAGAGTGGTTCACCCAATGGAGCTACTAGTCCCCACAGTTCTCAGCACCACCTTGCCACAGGTGACCAGGCCCCTGGGCAGTCAGGCAGGCCTGGCAGCAGGGTGCTCTCTTTTGCCTCTTTCAAAAGCCAGAATCTGAAACTACCCAGCAGACGTGCCAGTGGGTATGTGATACAGTCCCCAGCATGAAAACCACAGCAGAACTGCTTGAGAGAGCCAAGTGGCTCAGAGCACAAGCTGAGCATGTTTGGAAACAGGAATTGCAGCTCTTTTAAGAAAACATCCAGCTGCATAGCCAAGAGTCCCCAGATCCCATCTGCTGGCTCTGTTACTTTCTTCCCCAGATTTTTTTCAGCTGCTTGCTGTATCAACAACATCAAATCAACTGCCAGTGCCAGCTGGAGCTGGTTTTGATGGTTTTGTGGATGCCCCATCCCTGGAAGTGTTCAAGGCCAGGTTGGATGAGGCTTTGAGCAACCTGGTCTAGTGGAAGGTGTCCCTGCCCATGGCAGGGGGGTTGGAAGTAGATGATCTTGAAGGTCCCTTCCAACCCAAACAATGCTGTGATTCTATGGTCTGTGAACCTTGTGGCAACCCTAACCTGGCACCTGCAGCGTGCCTTGTGTTTTAGCCCATGGCCATGTTTCTTAAAACTTTAGACAGGCATCTTTAGTGTACCAGATTGTTTGAAAGCAGCTTTTCATGTAAAATTAAGGAACTTCTAAATGAGCAAAATAGCTTATTTTGCATCCACTTGCAAAATATTCCACTTAGAGAATTCTGAGACGCCACGTATTTGTTTGTCTTAGCTAGGAATAAAATCCTATATAGGATTTATCCCCCTATATATCCTATATATGTTACCTTCTGTACTAACAGAAGATAAGAGAACATGAAGCTAGAACAGAAGGAAAGAATTTAAAAATACCCAAAACAAACCCCCACGAACCCAAGTGATTTATGCAAATTGAGTATTTTCTCATACAGAAGTATGAGTATTGTATTTTCTCATACAAGCCATTTAAAAATTCCTTTGTACTTTCAGATTTTCAAATATATGCTAAATGCCAAATTTCCAATTGCAGTATTATCCTAGCTTGCCTTTTGATTTCAGTGACTAAGGTAATGGTGAATCAGTCTCAATTGTATCTACTGCCTTTTTTTTTTTGTTTTTAAATAATGCTTACAATACTTCTCTTCAGGAGAAGCCAGTCAACCTCATTCTGGTATTTTTTACTCCCAGTTTTACACAGTTCCGTATTGTGCTGGGAGATTTCAATTTTGAAAGCTTAGAAGCAGCAGACAGAATACTTGGACCTATTTACTTCATCACATTTGTATTCTTTGTCTTCTTCGTGTTGCTGGTAGGTATCCTCTTAAAAATACTTATCCTTTTGCGTAAGCAGTAGAGAAGAACTGTTGCACAGTGCTCCGAGACAGGGTTTTCCACTCCGGGATGACACTGGGCTTGCCCTGGCTGCCCCTCAGTACACCTGGGCAGAGAGATGGTCTGAACATTTTTTGCAGGAGTTCCCAGGCAAGACATTTCACAGCTCTCCCTTCCTCCAAACAGCCGCAGAAGGGGCGCTTTGCACCACAGAACAAGCACGTGGCACCTTTCCCTCTACTGCACCACCCGTTTCTCGAGACTTTAATTTCTGAAAACTTAACTGGGTGCCCTTGAAAACTGCATAATGTCAGTCTTGTCAGGTAGGAAGGTTAAAGAGACTTTGATGGGACTGTGCAGGCGCAGCTTTGCTTTATCAGTTAGGTCGATATTTTCATTAATTACTTCAGATTGAAACACCATCTGAAAAAGCGACAAGTATACGACAAGAAATCCGTTACCGCCAAGGAACTGGGTCTTTTAGCTGATACTGCAGATGGGCAACAAGTGATTTGTCTCCCAAAAATATTCCCTAAGATCCTAATATTATCAGATAATTGAACTGCATTAGGAGCACGTCTGCACCCAGCAAAGCTCTTCAATTCGATTAGTTACATGCCCCAGCACGGAACAGCCCCCAGACCAACAGCCCCAGCACAATACAAGTGCAATTTCAAGAAACAAGTATCTAATAACTGTATCCTTCCTGTGCAGAACATGTTTTTGGCTATTATAAACGACACCTATTCCGAAGTCAAAGCAGACTTTGAAGTGATACCCAGTCAAGAACTTCAGATCAGAAACCTCTTTAGACAGGTAAGTAAGCACTTCTATAACCACCTCATATAATTCAAGATAAGAGGAGGAATTCTAAGCTAAATCACTAGCAAAGAGCCCTAAACAGCTGGGCCATAACCATTTAAGAATGCCTAAGATTTGTTTTTTCACTTTAAATAAACATTTGACAGAAACATCCTTCCATCAAATGCGCAGGAGCTCCTACTGGTAAGAGCAACATAGGAGTTGGGGTGCAAGGAGCCCACCTTTGCGTCACCCTTTTAAAAGAAATATTTAAGACCAGCCTGGTTTGTCATATATCCCATCATCAGCTTTCTTCAGAGCTTACTGTTGCTGCTCTTCCAAACTGCGAAACTAAAGATTGTCTCTGCATGGGAAGACAAAACAAGTAGAAATACGTACCTTTAAACCACTGTAAAGTTCAGACCATTTTTATATGCCAGAAACGAGTACAAAAGGGGAACAAATCCTCCCCTGACTTTTCAGTTCAACTTGAAATTATGACCTCCTCCTTTGCTGCCAAATGCATGCGCTGAAGCCAAAGAGATTGCATGCAGTTCTGTTGCTGGGACAAGCCAGTACCTCCGCCTAGGAAACCTGACTTCAACTGGGGAATACAGCATCACCAGTGAGATCAGTAAGACTGAGATAGGTGTGGAGTGAGAGACCTGAGCTTTCATACCGTGTTTCTCCACGTCGGCCTACACTGACCACACTGCAGAGGGCTGGCAGCCGTACCCGCCTGAAGTTTTCCTGTAGGATTTTATGAGTGGCATAGACACAGGTTACGTGGCTTCTGCAAAGCCTAGCTTTTGTTAAGGAAATGGAAGGGGGATTCCCTGGCCAGGATACAGCCAGTCTGGTCGGGAGAAGCACAGCTTAGACTCCCCAACCCAAGCTCATTTTCCTACTTATCCAGGATTACAATAAGATTGAACTGAATATGCCTGAAAACAGAAACTCTTACTGGATTTAGTTGGCTATTACCTTCAGGGATTTCATGACGAATTTGACATAGAGCAGGGTAAGCTCTGAGCTGAGCTAAGGGAACAAGGAAAGCGATAGACTGGTGGGATTTCCATGTCATTGCCAAGGCATGATGCTGATGGTTTGGTCCTTGCATTCAGGTCCTCCTGCAAAGCGTCTCTGATTAAACACAAGCCAATTAACATGCCTGACTTTCACTGTCTGTGTTCAGAGCTGCAATAAGGCCCTCGTCAAGCTGAAGTTGAAGAAACCAGAGACGGATACAAATCCAGAGGACGAGAACTTGGAAAGGTAGGATCTCAGCATGCGCTGTTACCCCCTGCACGGAGCACAGACGTATTCTCACAGGAGTTCTGTCTCTCCTCATTTGTGTGAATGACAAGCGAGGAATTTTCAGCCACTAAAAGAGAGGATATTTCTCAGCTTTCCGATGGAGAAAGTGCTAATGAAAAGGTAGGCTTTATTCTTTCCTGTATTCTTAGAAACTGCTGATTATATTTCAGAAGTTGAATAATACAAAAGGAGTCACAGTTGTCCCCACTGTTACTCACAAAAGCTATTTCTCCACTGGATAGTATTTTTAACATCATAGGAATAGCGAAAGCTAGACCTATAAAAAAAGAAAAATCACTAATTATGCCCAAAACTTCAAATGAAAGCTTGCCCAGGCAAGGTCATACACTACAATAGCAGACCTGGCAGCAGGGTGAGGTCAGTGTGTCTTAGCAATAGTATAAAGTTGTGAGCTGGGCATTTGCCCAAATGTTAAACAGAAACAGATGTATGGAAAACAAACAAGTTTTAGAGCAGTCTGTGGGTCATAGGCTGCATCTACAGCAAGAAGAAAAATTACTGCTTCCTTTTACAAAAAGCAGCAGTCTTTGGTAGTCCTGTATCTAGGGTAAGCAGTGCAAATACTTCTAAAACATTTTTTAAAAATCACTTCTACAAGAGAGGGAAAAGCCCTTGGCTAGCTGTAAACTCTACTGCACACAATGCTTGCAATCTTAATTCTGAAATGCAATGCGTATCCTTATATCCTGCCTTTTTGGAAGGGTCAGAAAGAAAATCTACTTTCAGATGGAGAAGAGAGCATTTTTCTCCCAAAGCTGCATCTATCTTTTTCTGCATGAGTGACTGTTACAGGTGTCCCAGTGAGCCATGCAGGGTTTTTCTGTGTTTTTGTTGGTTTTCGGGGTTTTTTTTTTAATCCCTCTGCTGTTGAATAGAGCCATCTGAAGTTATCAAAGCTACCAAAAGGAAAGGAAAAACTTCATCAGATGTATCCATCGACTGAGGACACGGACTCAGCCACAGTTCAGAACTATGTCTCCACTGCAGAATTTCACCAGTAAGTGTGTGTGAGTCTGTTCCTGCAGTCTTACTCCCATCCCCAGGCAGCTGCAGCCCTAGCTGAACCCTCACCAGGTGACAACCTGAGAGCCAGATCAATGCAAAGTCAGTGATTTTAAGATATTTTTAGTGCTCTTATACTGGCTGACAACAGCTGCCCTCAGGGACGGAAGAAGGAATCAAAAGAATTTAGCAGAGCAGCTTGTAAGGACAATAGTCAAGAAAGAGGTGGGACAAGAATTTAAAATATTGTCGCTGTTCCAGAACATCTCCTTGTGGCTGCCCAGGGAGGGGGACAGAGACTGTAAGACCTTGTGCTGGTGAAGGGGTATTTCAGGACTTCGATCCCTGGCAGCTGGCACCAGTGAGCAAAGAGGAAGGTTGCAAACCAAGTGTAAAGGCAGTAGACCTGTGGCTGTATTTGTGTGTTCTAGGCTCTACAGGTACACAGCTGAGTTGGGGAAAGAATTAAATAACACTAATGAAAAACTCGGGAGAAATATAAAAAGCACGCAACGACTGAAGGATACTTTTGTCAAGATGGCACAGTGAAACGCACGAGCTCATCCGGTTACGGAGACGGCCTGACTCTTCACACGGTTTCAATAAATGTGGAGTCCCCATCTACCCCCCGGCACCCTTATTGTTTTTCTATTTCTGGGTAAGAGAA